AGACCAGAAGAACTAGATGGTGCCTGGCTATCACTGTCAACCACTTGAAGCGGGATCTATATAGGAGATCCTGGATAGAGAGGGAGAACAATGTGGAACAAAACTCAAAATCATTTGGGAAATAAAAAAAAATTGGGGACCAGGTTTGCCAGTCTGATAGAGCCCGGTGGAACCACTGAGCAGCCCCTAGCTGCCCTTCAGGTCTGGAATTGAACCCACACCTGTGGCTTCCAGCCAAACAAAAGACAGGCATATGAGTTGAACATTTACCTGAGGTAGAAACACTCCTTGGAGAGAACAATCATGGGAGAAAGAAGGGCTGCTTATGCACAGGGAGAGAGCTCAGGGGGCAGGAGTGCATGGAGGGATGGACACAGGAAATAGGTACTATGGGGAGGAAGTGGGAGGGAAGCTGTTGCATTGGGATAACTTGTAGTCAATATCATGAGACAGTGTATGTGAAATGCTGTATGGAAAGTGAATTTGCTCTGTGAACTTTCACCTAAATCACAATTAAAAAAAAAAAAACAAACCCACAAATCTGCTTTTTAAAATTTCACCCAAATCACAAAAAGGTGTTTTTTGTTTTTTTTTGAAAAAAGTTTGTCCAAATTTAACTATAAATGAAAAAGTATGACTGTTCACCATTATTTGTATTTTTTTTTTCCTTTTGGTTTTCTTTCCCTATAGTTAGAGTTTGGGAGCTCTGGTAGCATAGTGCCTAAGGTACTTGACTGCAAACCAGAAGAAGGCTGGCGGTTCAAACCCACCAGCCGACTCGATGGCAAACAATAAGAACAACAACATGACTACGGAAGTAGATTACCCAAGATTACTCAACCTTCTTTCAGAGGAGTGGCTGGTGGGTTTGAACCACCAGCCTTCTGGTTAGCTGTGAAGTGCCTTAGGCACTGCGCTACCAGAGCTTCTCCTAAGATTCTTATGAATAACAATTAAAGTGATGTTTGTGAAAATACTTAACAGAGGTGTAGTGCCTAAGGCACTTGACTGCTAACCAGAAGGCTGTCGGTTCAAGGCCACCAGCCACTCCTCGGAAGGAAGATGGGGCAGTCCACTTTCATAGTGATACTGCCTCGGAAACCCAAGGAGGGGTCGCTATGAGTCGGGTCCAACTCGACCGCACATAACAACAACAACAACAACACATAAGAAATATTCAATAAAATTTCTCCCCCTACTGCCTTCTGCTAACCCTAAGTTATTTCCCATTGCCCCTATCAGACTGTGGGAGAGTGGAAACTTGACATTTGGATACTTGGTACCGGCTCTATAGAACTTCTAACTCTCCTCCTTATCCACTGCTTTCTTGATAGTCCCCTACATACACCTTCCTCTTTAGCTAAGCCAGACAAACAAAAGACAGGCATAGGAGTTGAACATTTACTTGAGGTGGATACACTCCTTGGAGAGAAGAATCATGGGAGAAAGAACGGTTGTTTATGCACAGAGAGACAGCTCAGGGGGCAGGGGTGCATGGAGGGATGGACAGAGGGAAGAGGTGACTGCCAGGAGGAAGTGGGAGGGGAGCTATTGCATTGTGATGAATTGTGGTCAATATCATGAGACAAAGTGTATGTGAACTGCTGTATGGAAAATGAATTTGCTCTGTAAATTTTCACCCAAATCACAATTAAAAAAAAGAGAGAGAGAGAGAGAGAGAGTTTGGCATGTATTAGACTAATTTATGCTTGTCTTTAACAATTTTTCAAATTTTATTTATTTACTTACTTTATATAAGCAGATTTGACTTAAATTTTGTTAAGAAGCAAGACTCAAGCTGCCACAAGGAGTTAAACTAATTTAATAGAAATGGAGGAGGAAAGTTGAAAGAAAAAAAGGAAAATTCTTTATCCAAGTTAGAAATAAATCAGAGGTAACTTTATTAGTTATTTTTTTGTATAGACAGATGTTAAATCTGTCATTCCTCTGATGAAACATCCCTCCCACCCATAACTTCTTATTTTACTCATTACAATGGCCACACAGAACTCACAGACCATACTCACAGTTACGGAGTTTATCAGGGAAGTAACAGGTTACAATTCAAGTTCAGGAATGCTTCCCATATAGTTAGTTGAGATCAGGACAGCCTCTTAGCTGTGCCTACAGGCAGGTCTGGCCTTCAGTCTCTAGGCCTGGCCTTGCCCTCCTAGGGCAAGTGTTACAAAGCTCTTCTAGCTTGGCTAATATGTGCTCAGAAGCACCCCACTCTGCCAGTAAGCCTGGCTCAAAGGAGCTCTAGTTCTGTGGATCAGCAAACTTAGTTCCACCAAATGCCTGGAGGTACCCCACTTCTGCAGCAAGTCTTTTGCTCAAAGATGCTCAGCTTTCTTACCTGTGGGTCAGGATGCCTACCACACCATCTCCTGCTGGTCCCCTGGTTCTGCTGCTATCATTTCTCTGCCACTGGTTCTTACCATTTCTCATCATCTCTGCCGTTGTAATTCTTTCTCTCTGTGTCTCATGGCTTAAGGAGGTTCTCAGCACAGGTATCCTAGGTCCAAAATAGGTGCCCCACTCCCATCTCTTTTTCTTGGTTATTAAGTCCTCCTTTTCCCTCTGGGATAGCTCATTTTAACCCTATCAGGATGCTGGGTTAAACTGACCTTATTTGCATGGTCTCACCCCCACAAGGGTGCCATGCATCTTATTTACATTATTAGCTAGCTATCTAATCCCTTGGTGAGCAATAAGCACCTCATTTGCATAGTTCCACCCAATCACTTGATGGGAGTTACAAAGACTATGGCTGGAAGGGCCATATTAAATAATTCACTGCATCACACCAAGTTTGGGAAAATGTGCCTGCTGCTTAAAGCCAAGATATGGGGACAAAAGTTGACAGAGAAATCTGAAGACAGATATTTTGCCACTTGTTCCTATAGGCACTATACCAGGCTTTTTATTTATTTATTTATTTATTTACTTTTACAACACTGTTCTAGACCTCTAAAAATATAAATTAAAACAATGGCTTGTACTGTTGTTGTGAAAACTAAATATTATGTGAAATATTTCTAGTGTAATTCCTGGCATATAATCAGTTTTCAACTAATGTTAGTTGTTTTCCTTCTTGTTTGTCATGTTGTTGTTGTTATGTGCCATCGTCTTCGACTCATAGCAACCCCTCGTTGGGTTTCCAAGGCAGTATCTCTATGGAAGTAGATTGCCCAATCATCCTTCTGAGGAGTGGCTTGATTGTCATACTCTATTGCAATTATTATTTTTTAAAATATCTATTTTCCTCCTGGGGTATGGTTATCATGACTGACAGATCTGTCATTTATATGTCATATAAATATAGGACCTGTCACATACTCTAAATGAATGCTAAATATATAATTTATATTTTTAGTTATTTTTAGTATGTTTACTTAAGCCAGGATGAATGATTAGTTGAAAGATTCATTTATGTAATTACTCAACAAATAATTATTGTGCAGCTATATGCCTAAGGCATTTGACTGCTAACTAGAAAGCTGGCGGTTCAAATCCACCAGCTACTCCTCAGAAGGATGGTTGGGCAATCTACTTCCGTAGTGATACTGCTTTGAAAACCCAAGGAGGGGTCCCTATGAGTTGGATCCTACTTGACAGCAGTGGGCATTATGTACTAGGAACTGTGCTTCACACTGGAGATCGAAACAATGGTGAGTGAAAAATAGACATTGCTCATACTTGTACTTTAAGAGGGGAGATAGATATTAATAAAATTGTCTCACAAATAAAATGTAAAATTGAACTGAGATACATGTTAGGAAACAGAGTTACAAGGTGCTTAAAGAATAATTAGAATATTAGAATTTGAAAGGCTCAACTAGATCCTTTCTTATTGACCTCTTTTCCAGTGGTCTGACATGTTATGATATTCTATCATTATCTAATTAACTTTTTTTAAGTTTCTCCCAAGTTGGACAAAATTCCTGGGACATTTGTTTCCAGAAGACCTTTATTAAAACTGACCTGTCATTGGATGAACACTTTGGGTGTAGAGAGATGGAGAATTGCTGTTAGTGCTCTCCTTAGACCTTTTTTATTAATTGATATATTGGTGGTGGTGGTGTTGTTATGTGCCGTGGAATCGGACCCGACTCATAGTGACCCCTCCTTGGGTTTCCGAGGCTGTATCACTACGGAAGTAGATTGCCCAGCCTTCCTTCCGAGGAGTGGCTAGTGGGTTTGAACCGCCAGCCTTCTGGTTAGCAGTCAAGTGCCTTAGGCACCCTGCTACCAGAGCTCCTGTACTAATCATTAAGTAATATATTGGTTCTAAGCATTTTATCAGAATGGTCTAGGTACTTTTTCACTTTAAGAAGAGAAATCAGGATTGGCCCCGAGCAAATCAATCATAGAAAAGTCGAGTTCAAAGAAGTTTAGGAAATAACGGAGGTAAAATCCCTACGTAAATGGAGGGCACACGGAACTCAAAGCTAGGGAGGGAGTGTAGGCAACTCCAATCAGTCTATTAAATCTTCAGCAGAAAAGTCATAGGTTGCATTAAATTAGGGAGGGAGGATGCCAAAGAAAAATACTTCCCTCCACAGTTTTATCGATGCTAGGAGTTCACTTAAATCATCTCAGGTAGAGTAACTATGGCCCCTCTTTAGGTATACTAACCAACCCAACTCCACTGCTGTGTAGTCGATCGCCACACACAGCGACCTTATAGGACAGAGTAGAACTGCCGCAAGGGGTTTCCGAAGATGCAAATCTCACTGCGGAACATTTTCCGCAGATCGCCTGATAGGCTCGAACCGCCGACCTTTTGGTTAGCAGTCGAATGTCTTAACCACTGCGCCACCGTCTATGGTAACACTACTTTAAACATATTTTGTATGCCTGCCCACAAATTAAGGGGAGAAATTAGTAGTATTTATTGAATGAGGGAATTTCTTAATAGGAAACTCCTCCAGAGAGATAATTGGGTAGAGAGTCACGCCAGACCTTAGCCCAGTTCAGTCCCTCCAGTGGCGACTTACCTGTTCCTAAAGTAGTACTGGTTTCCTATAACTGCAGACCGACTTTGTAATCGGGCTAAGGTGGCCATAGAGTCTCAGCCCCGAGTTTATAGCGGGTGTTACTATCGGTCTCTATGGCAACGGGGCTAAACCATTAGGTTAGTCCCGGGGGTTCAAATTTTCTTTCACTCCTCTTTATTTCATTGTGTTTCAGCTTCCAAAATGCTATGAAGATAATTAATAGCTTTCTGTGAAGGAAAAGTTTTAATTTATTTGTCTCGATCTGTTCTGTGAATAAAATGGGGAGGCTTTAGGAAGATAACGCAGAGGGAAAGGAGAACTAATGGTTGTTCCGAGCATCCGGTTTCCGCCTCCCGCCTGCTTCCGGAAGCTCATCTTAAAATGCTAAACTGCCCTTTGGAAGTCGCCGGTCTTACAGTAGTTGAAGTCTGTTCTCGGGCCTGAGCCTCGAGGCCAGGCTCCTGGGTGTCGTTAATGTTCGGGGCCGGCGGGCGCCAACCGATCGGAGCTCCACCCGCCGGGAACAGCTGGTGAGGCTGGCGGTCCTGAGGATGGGAGAGCAGGAAAGGGTGTGATGGCCGGAGGCCGCTAGACCTGGAATAGAAAGAGGGGGAGTTGTGATGTATGATCTGAAGACTTGTAGGCCTTGCCCTCGCTCATGACTAGGATGAACGCAGTTTGAGGGAGGCGTTGAAGTGTATGCTAAAGGTTTTGAAGGAATACATTAAAGGCTTGTTGATTGCTTGATTAATATACTATGGTATTTTAGGTGTAAAGCTTTCTGTACTCCAGGGGCAATTCGTCTCCGCTGGATAGTTGACAAGACTAGGGACAGAATGAATTGATCTTGATCTAGGTTTTATTCGCTTCCTCCTTCTTTGATATATACCAGATTATGTCATATGTCTTGGAAGATCAAATCTAGAAATCTGAGTTCTGGAAGTTTAGTAATGGAGAACACATCACTCTAGCATCTTGTACTGAGATGAGGTGATCTTTCTGTTTCCATCCCCTTGAATGATCCATTCCGGTTCACATGTGATGTGTATGGGCGTCCCCTGAACTTTAAAACATATGAATGTAGCAGTTATGTTTGGGATTTGAATACATCTATAATATATCATAAATGCCACTGGAGCATAATATATTGTTTTGACCTGTCAAAGTGCTTTCACACATTAATACACTTTATCCTTATGACATCCCTGGGATAGCAGATCATTACAGGCACAGAACACTTGTACAGCGACTTGTACAAAGTTGCTTTTCTTGGTTTAGTACTAGAGCTAGAAGCTGCCTGTCTTGTTTTTCTCCCAAGCCCTATTTCTCCAAGCATTCACAAGACAAACAGTGAAACACACAAGCAGATTTCCCATCGACAATCCTCCAACATAATTCTTGGACCAGCAGTTGAAATGAAAAGTATATGTCCACACATAAGACTCCTAGACTCTACAAAAACCAAGGACATGGAGAATTCTATTAGTCTGCAATGTCAAACCAGTTTATTTTGCATCACCTATCACTGAAAAGGGAGCTCTGGTAGCATAGTGCCTAAGGCACTTGAAGGCTGGCGATTCAAACCCATCAGCCACTCCTCGGAAGGAAGATGGGGCAATCTACTTCCGTAGTGTTACTGCCTTGGAAACCCAAGAAGGGGTGGCTATGAGTTGGGTCCAACTCAACAGCACGTAACAACAACAACAACATCGCTGAAAAGTTAAAAGAATTTCTTGCCCCAAATATTTTGAAATGGATCAGATCATTCCATTTATTTTATGATGAATATAGATTTGGTTATGTTCATTCATTAAAAGGGAGCACTTTTTAAATGCACAGTTCTTGATTAGTTTGGGTAGTTGCATATATATACTTGTGTGTAAATCACCACACAAAATAACATATAGAACATTATCACCCAGGAGAATTCCTTCTCTAGGACATCTTTCTTAATGTTTCACTTAATAATCTTGTTAAGGGAGGAAGACAAAATGTGCTATGGAGACTGGTCTTCTGTTGTGGTGCATTTGATTTGTAGGATAGATGAATAGTTAATTAAAAAATAGGACTCAACTCCTTCCTCTCCTTTCCACCTTCTATCTCCTATGTATCTTTTATAGTGTAGAGAAACACTCTTTAAATTTTCTTAAAAAAGCCTATCCCCTTTTCCTTTTTGGCATACAACTCATACTTTATTATGGCCCCAGCATATAACATGGTACCTAGCACTTTATCATTGTTTTTGAATAAAGTTCTTAAAATCATATCCACTTTAGCAGAATGAATTTGTCTACTGGAATCTTAATCTTTTTCAGCTTTTTTGTACAACTGTCCACTCATTGAAAATTTTGTTAACGAAATTCTCATTTTCATTCACTAAGCAAGCATTTGGGAGCTCTGGTAGCATAGTGGCTAAGGCACTTGACTACTAACCAGAATGCTGGCGGTTCAAACCCACCAGCCACTCCTTGGAAGGAAGATGGGGCAATTTACTTCCGTAGTGATACTGCCTGGGAAACCCAAGGAGGGGTCGCTATGAGTCAGTCTGACTCGATGGCATGTAACAGCAACAACAAGCAAACATTTACTATACCATGCATGTATGTTTCTTCCCCAGTCATAAAATCCCAGCACCCCGGGGCATGCTACTATTTAGTGCTTGGAGCCAAGTTCTACATACATGCGTTATTTTATGTAAATCTTTTGTGGTAGGTACTGTCATTATCTATACTTTATAGATGGTGAAACCAGGCCAAGATAGTTAAATAGTTTTCTCAAGAGTCATATTTGCAGTATGATTCCAGTATGTTATACGTAAAAAAACTTCGTAACCACTATCACATACAGTCTAGTCCGTCAGTTTGTCATACTTTGGTGGCTTGCATGTTGCTATGAAGCTGGAAGCTATGCCACCCAAATTTCAAGTACCAGCAGGGTCACCGATGGGGACAGGTTTCAGCAGAGCTTCCAGACTAAGATAGACTTGGAAGAAAATGGAGCCATCTACTTCTGAAAAGTAGGCAACTGAAAACCTTATGAATAGTGGTGAAACACTGATATATTGTTGGAAAACTTCATAAATAATATTGTCTATGGTGTGTCTGAATAAGATACAATCTATCAAGATATACATGTACTAGAAACCATACCCAGATTTGTAAACCAATCTGGAGTACCCCCATTTTGGCTTCTTCAACTGTTTTCTCCAATGTGGAAGTTAGTTTTTCACATTGCAGGCACAAAACGAGTAAATGTAGGTAATTATTTGTATTTCTTAATTTGGAAAAGCAAAACTGGCATTTTGTGTTATAATTAAGGAGTATAAGAAAGGAAAATATTATGCAATTAAATAATAAAAATCTCATGATAATTTGTGTGTCAGGAAATGGATATATTTTCTGTACAAGTTAATCTTATATGTGGTTCATATTATGTTTTTATTTAGAAATTGTTGTGGTTGAGAGTGTCTATACCCCCTTCTTGTTTCACCACTCATATACATTTTAAAATAGGATACCAAAAGTATCCATCTTGGTACTTCTAATATTAACCTGCCTTTTAAAATTTCATTCATTTGATGGACAAATCACATTTAGAATTTAGATACTCTGTTCTTACTCCCTTTTACTTTATTAAGGATTTATTTTTAAAATCAGTTTGTGATTTCTTTGATTTTAAAGTCTGAATGAAACCAGTTAACAAAAATAACTCTCAATTATGAAATTGTTGAAACATCATTGATGAATTGTAGTTTTCTATTTATTTAACTTTTTTATGTGGCTTTGCTTTAAAAAGCCATTAAAAGTAAAGTAAACCACATTGTTCAAAACCTCACTTATTTTCAGTTTCATTCCTGTTTGATATTTTGATTTTCTATAGTGGCTAAAGCACTTGACTGCTAACCAGAAGGCTGGCGGTTCAAACCCACCAGCCACTCCTCGGAAGGAAGGTTGGGCAATCCTACTTCTGTAGTGATACTGCCTCGGAAACCCAAGAAGGGGTCGCTATGAGTCGGGGCCGACTCGACGGCACATAACAACAACATAGGTTTGGAACTGCTAAGTGAAAAATGTACAATTTTTTAATAATTTTTTTCTTTTTCTTTTTTTTGTCTTGAACTCAGTTTTATGCTGTCAGTATTCTTTGAGTCAAGTTTGTGTTTCAGCGATTAGGAATCAAGCCAATGACCAGTATGATTTGGAACAAGTTATTTATTAACTTTGGTATAGCTTTTTAGCATCCTTATTTATTTATGTCAAAGTGGAAATCTTTAAACAAAATTTGGTAATTTGCCCTGAGCCTTTACATTTGCTTTACTAAAATTTTAGAGTATTTTACTTGTGAATGTGGCAGAACATTTGAAACCTAGATTGCCTAGAAATTTTAGTCTTTAAGTCATTCTTTTCCTGTGTTATTTGTTCATTCATGTAGCTATTCATTCATTTGTTCAACAGGTTTTTTTGTTCTTTTTTTAAATTTTAACATCTGTTACATGTCAAGCATTGCGTGTGTTTTTGTTGTTTGGTGCTATTGAGTCGATGCAAACTCAGAGTGACCCGATGTACAACAGAATAAAACATTGCCTGGTCCTATGCCATCCATACAGTTTTTGCTATGTTAGAGTCCATTGCAGCAGGTATTGTGTCAATCCACTTAGTTGAGGGTCTACTTTTTTGCTGACCATCTACTTTACCAAGCATGATGTCCTTCAGGAACATGTCCCTCCTAATAACATGAATTCTAACCCACCAGCTACTCCTCAAAAGGAAGGTTGGGCAATCTACTTTCCTAGCGATACCACCTCAGAAACCGAAGGAGGGGTCATTATTAGTCAGATCTGACTCCGCGGCAGTGAGTAGTAATAGAATTACTTGTGATTAATCTCTGCCTTCATTCTTATTCCATCCATTCCTATTGCAGTGTGATTCCAATATGTTATACCTAAAGAAATTTCTTAACCACTATTGTATACTGTCTAGTCTGTCAATTTGTCCTACTGTGGTGGCTTGCGTGTTACTATGAGACTGGAAGCTATGTCTCCTGAATTCCAAATACTAACAGGGTCACCCATGGTGGACAGGTTTCAGTAGAGCTTCCAGACTAAGACAGATTTGGAGGAAAGATGGGGCCATCTACTTCTGAAAAATAGGTAACTGAAAACCTTATGAATAGCAGTGAAACACTGATATATTATTGGGTTTTGTCTATTTATACATTTGATAAATATTTCTTGAACAGTTACATGTATAAGAATTATTTGCTACCTACTAGAAGCTTGCCTAGATGCATTTTAACTGTTGTTGTTGTTGTTATGTGCCGTCCAGTGGGCCCCGACTCATAGCAACCCCTCCTTGGGTTTCCGAGGCAGTATCACTACGGAAGTAGGATTGCCCAACCTTCCTTCCGAGGAGTGGCTGGTGGGTTTGAACCGCCAGCCTTCTGGTTAGCAGTCAAGTGCTTTAGCCACTATGCTACCAGAGCTCCTGCATTTTAACTAGAATTGGATTTTATTCTTTAGAATCTGAATTTT